GCGGGGCTGCCGGACGCTGCTCTGCTGGTGGAGAAACTCCTGAGGAGGAGGACCTTCAGACCCGACCCGCAGGGCTCCAACCTCATGTTCGCCTTCTTCGCTCAGCACTTCACACACCAGTTCTTCAAGACCTACAACCGCATGGGCCTGGGCTTCACCAAGGCCCTGGGCCACGGGGTCAGTCCACACAAAAGATACACACAACACCCAGACAACTGACTCACACAGGCCAGAAAAAGCCGACAACTTTACATCAGGACTGGTTTTAACCTCATCCAAGTCCAGCCCAGTTAACCCTTTAAAGCCTGATACAAGAATAAAACAAAACAGAAGATTACTTCTTTTTTTGGTCGAATTCATTATTTGGCCTTTTAACAAAATATCTAAAAAGAAAAAACAGAAATACATTTTTAATAATGTTTAATAATTTAATAATAATTTATTACTATGCGATAAGTCAAGATCATTTTTTGTGTAGTCTTCTGCCCCCTGTTATCAGGTGTATCTGATTGTGTACAATAGGATTTTGAGCAAAGTTTTCACCATAAAATTATCCAAAAGGAGTCAGACGCAAAACATCAGAAACCGTATGAATCAAATATGATAGATTTGGCATTACAGGAGCTGGAACCTCCTCAGTGGCCTGATGGGCTCTCAGGAGTCTCCTGTCTTTCCATAAGAAGGCCAGTTGTGTTCTTCCTGTTTATACGTTGTTTGTTGTCTGTGTGAGGGTTTCAAATTCAGCCATAGTCAGCATTTTTAGAACTCAACCCATAATAAACCCACAATGACACAGGTGTGACAACCTGTTCAAATACATGGATTCAAAAGTGGCCAGAGGATCTTAACAGATCTTGTGGTACCTGATTTTTTTTCGTTTTTCTGTGATAAATGGACAGATTTTTGTTCCCGATCATCTCTCTTTTGGGGGAGAAGTGGGTCTGGTACTCTGGTCTCTGATTGGTTGAGCAGCCCTCTCCTCTGACCCCCCCCCCCCCCCCCCCCCCCCCCCC